CTTCATCTTCTAGGATTAACTCTTATTTTTGATCTTTCTCAGAAACCATATATCAAATCCGTTGCAAAATTAGCATCCGCTAAAGTTGCATCTCTTCATCCCTTCTACCTAGATAGTTGTGCTGATTATTATTACAGCTTTTCATTTCAACTAAATCATAAATTTTAAAAGCAGTAAAAACTTTGAAGTTAATTATCTCTAAATGGGTTTTTCAGCAGCCCAAGTAATAACTTATTATTTTTAAATAATTACTGGTAAAGTTATTTTTAAAAAATTACTGGTAAAGTTGTGGCTACAAGTTTTTATGACTGTTGCTTGTTGGTATGTGTTTAAAACATTCATTAATTCAAAGATTTTCACTACAACTTTAAAAGAATTATTCTGTTTTCCATTTTTCAGTATCAAGTAAACCCTCTACTGCATCAAATAGTTCAAAATCAATATATCAGCTTTGAAGATGGTTTTTCAATGTTTTAACAACACAAATTTTTTTAAAAATATGTTAAACATCAACATTGAAAAATAACATTAGCTTTTTCTAACGAAATTCTTATTCTGGATCTGAATAAATTTTCTTGTTTAATATATTCTCTAGCAGTTGCCATGACAGAAATCAATAAAGTTCTATGTATGTGAATGACACTAGCCTTTAATGTGTTAGTAAAAATAGTTTTAGTAGAATTAATGTTTTTGAATAATTAGTCATGCAAAAAAAAAAAAAAAAAAAACTTAAAACTTATTGGTGCAAGAAAAACGACGTTTGTTATGTTTTTCAATAAACTGCTACATTTGAAAGGTTACTAACCATATAAAGTGAACTTTAAAAGAAATTAGATAATTAAATAAAAATTGAATTTGCACTAATTCAGCAGCTAGAATGCCATCTTTAACAGTAACAAAAAGATGCTCAGATTGTTTTTCAATTATTGGGAATTCCTCACAGCTGCACAAATTTGTTGACTATCACAGCTGCACAAATTTGTTGACTTTATCACAGCTGCACAAATTTGTTGACTTTATCACAGCTGCACAAATTTGTTGACTTTATCACAGCTGCACAAATTTGTTGACTTTATCACAGCTGCACTTTGAGAAATAATCTTGTTGCTGTTGCTATAATGTGATCCTTTGGCATCAGAAAGTGTTGTAGCTCTTGTTGTTTCAAATAAGCTCTTTTTCCACATATAATATTTTGATTAAGTCAACCTTATGGTGAAGGATGCTTCCAGTAACACTAGGTATTAATATAGTTTTTTATAGTTCAAATTAATGACTCTTTGAACCTTTAACATTTTGCATTCTTTATAGTTTTGTCATCAGCTTAGCAATTTTTCCCTCCAAATTCATCAATAAGTCTAAAAAACCTTGCTCAAGTTCAAGCAAATACAGGGGTTTTAAACAATGGCATCAAGAGGTTAGCAGCTACTATTAATCAATCAACCTCTCAACAGATTGTTAAGAAAAATTAATTGAAATTTGATGAATTCAGCAAGCAGCTTGTACATTGTTTCACAAGTCGTCAATTCAAGATCATGCTGGATGTGTGAGGACTGTCATACACTGACTTTGACTTGAGCTTAAAAATGAAATTATAGCCATGAGAAGTACGTCTAAAAGTCAAATTTTAATGGTTGGGATTGACGGAGAAGGTGGGTTCCTTAAAATTAGCCTAGGAATTATTGAATTAAACCATAAACCTAGCATTCTCCCAACAAAACAAAACTGTACAAACAAGGACACTGGTGTCAAATGCAGGGATTATCTTTTTCCGGATATTTTCAGAATTCCGGATATTTATTTTAACTTTTAGTTTTTCCGGATATTCAAAACATTTTCAATACATGCAAGTTGAGGTATATATTTTTATAATATAATTGTTTTTTTAAGCTTTTTCACTCATAGAAAAATTATGAAGTGTTAAAAAAATTAAAAACAATTTAGCTAAAAGCGAAATTAAAAAGAAATTAATGGAAAACAAATTCCGGATTTTTTCCGGATAATTTATTTAAACAATTTTCCGGATTTTTAAAATATGACTAGGATAATGTATGGTCAAATGACAACTCATTATTGCTGTCTCTGAGGAGCTTCTAGAAATTTATACTAACATATCGAAAGTATTTGAGTTGATTATTTAAAAAACCAGGAATTTAGTACTGTTCTGTGATCTAGATATTATTTGTAGGCTTCAAGCACACTCAAGTGCACATCCCTGCATCTGGCTTGATTCTGGTTCTTGTAAATCAAGGAAATTTGAGGACTTTTGAATCTCTGGAAAAAAATGTCCCACTCTTTAAGTCAGCAATTTTAGAAAAGTTCACTACAAAAATGTGGCTCATTCTCCAATATTTTAACTATCTGGAGACACTGTTTTTGATGTTATTCCTCCCATGGAATTGTATATTCTAATTTGATTTTTTTATCTTTTTGCTGCGCTACTTTAAATTTTTTCTCAAGCAACTCTTTGTGCTGATGCATTACACATTAAACAACAACTTTACCATGATGGACATTTTGCAGGAAATGAGTCCAGAAAGCTGCTACACAGTAATGATATTCTTCAATCAATTGCTGAGAAGCACTCGTACTATGCAGCCATTCCATTGATTGATACCTTTCAAAAATTCAATGTGGTAGTGTCTGGCCGTTTTGAATGCAACCTTGATCCTAACTACCCACAAAATAATTGAAAAATTCAGAGTGTCTTATCTGGCATAACAAAAATGTGTCTAACACCTAATGTCCATGCAGTATTTATTTAACTGAAAGATTTCATCGACAGATATAGCCAAGTTTTTTACTCAAAACATGCAATAGAAGCAATGCACCACAACTTTCAAAACATGCAATAGAAGCAATGCACCACAACTTTCAAAACATGCAATAGAAGCAATGCACCACAACTTTCAAAACATGCAATAGAAGCAATGCACCACAACTTTTAAAACATGCAATAGAAGCAATGCACCACAACTTTCAGATAAATTGGCAATGGTACAAAAAATCCAATTATCCATCAGAATACAGTAAGAAATTATAATGTTGGTTCGTTGACTTTATTAGTAAACATTGCTTGTGAAAAGTCATTTTGAGAAGGAATTTAAGAATGAATTATTTTAGAATTTGCTCCATGTAAAAGAAGCAGTTTTTTCATGAATATATATTATGTTTATTATTTGTATAACTTCAAGAATATATCATTTTGCTTTTCTGTTTATATTTATGTAAATTGAAGATTTTTACTACTGTAAAAAGGAAAATAAGCTGTCATTTCGCATGATTGCACAAATCAACAAAATGTCCCAGTAAATACAAATGTGTTTAATGTCTATAATACGTTTAAACTAGGATGAAATTTTTACTCGGATGAATATATTAAATGTAAATAATTTGTCAGGATGTTGTAATCTGATTTTGATATCTAAGTGATCCCCATAGTGTGGGCTATCATTCCACCAAAGGGTTTTTCAGTGTCAGAGAGTTAAGGTTAGAATCTTTTTCAGTGTCAGAGAGTTAAGGTTAGAAGTTTTATAACACTGTTGTCTACACTAGATGCTCAAAGTACTGAAACAGTTTTTTCTAGTTTGTAAGGGTTTTAAAAATAAGTTTCTGTAACTGATCTGTATTTATTATTACTATTTATAGTTAAGGAACAAGTATAGGTTTTCTTAGTGTATTAAATATATTAGACAATACTCTATCCTTAAACATCTGTAGGCGCACCTAAAGTTCTGTTAAAAATGATTTGATTCACAAATATCTTCTCAGATTACTCAAAGGTATGATACTGTTGATAGTTCTTCCAAATTTAAGAGTTTCTGCTGTAGTCAGAGCCGTCCCGAAGAGGTCTCTCATGGGTGGAGGGGTATCGTATGTTTTTTTTGCCAACTAATGACACTAAAATAATAATAAAAAAAAGAAAAAAGGTCCTCAATATTTAAAATTTGCTAACTATAGTTCAAAACTTGCCAATTCAAATACTAAACGTATAAATGTGCCAACTCAAATGCATATATGACAGGTTTAGGGGGTGGGACACTCCCTACACCCTTTTACGAAGGTAACAACCGATCATGCGTATTCGCTAAGTAAACGAAGCAATGAAGCCTGAATGTGTCTAACAGTCGATTGCGATTAAAAACAATTGGACCGAAACGCGTCCGATCAAACCGACATAATATAAATAAAAGACGAAAATAGAAGAGAGAGAGCCAGAGAGAGAAGAGTTTGCCCTAGAGTTCGTTCGGTCGAAGAATCATTTAGAATAAGAAGAGTCTTTTAGAATAATATATATATATATATATATATATATATATATATATATATATATATATATATATATATATATATATATATATATATATATATATATATATATATATATATATATATATATATATATATATATATAGTGAATATTATGTTAGTCAATTAAAATAGTATGTTATATTAGTTGGAGTTTTAATAATACAGAATAAATTGTAATTGAATAATAATGGTTTGGAATTATTATTATTAACTGTTGGAATATCACAAAGAATAAAGGTTCCAGGAAACTAGAAATAGATAAATATATAAACTTAAATAAAAAAAAAAAACTCTTATTATTACCGTTGGGAAACAACCCCCTGTTCAGGACATTCCTGGCTGTAGTATGTTTTCCCTACATACCTGAAGTTTTATGTGTTTTCACCTAATTTTCTGTAAAAAAAGTCTGAACCTAATGTGCTTGTGCTTTTTTTAACTTGATGCCTTTTTTTTTTTTACTTCATGTATTTTTTTTTTCTTTTAAAAGTTTGTTTCTTTTTTTACTTTCAATAAGTTTTATTTTTTATTGTTAGACCATAGTTTTATGGTTTGATTAGTTGAAATAAGTTTCGTAGTTGGATGGGTTGAAATGAGTTTAATTGTTTGATGGGGTAAAATAAGTCGATGAATATATGTATGTATGTACGCAAAAGATAATGCGTTTATTAATTAAGCAATATGTTATTTTTTAGGATTTTTTTGGATTTGATGAGGCAGTTGAATCAGAAGAATTAACGCAGTTTTTGAAGTTATAAATTTATTGATATATTTTTTTTTTTAAATATCGACTCGTAATCTTATAAATCTTGTAATTAATGTATTGAAAAATATAAATATATATAGACAAATAGTATGTTTTGTTTTTCATCCAAAACAAGTTATGTTTATGTCTTAAAAAATCAATTTAGAGTTTATTTTTTATTAAAATTGTCAAAACAAATTAGTTATCGAGATATTAACAAAAAACGTTTTTTTTAACTTCACTGCCTTATTTCTGTTTTTAAACCTTGACTTAATTTCTGTTTCTAAGTTTAGGCTTTCTGCTTTTTTTTTAAATGCTTTTATTAACTCGTCGTCTCTGTTTGTCTGTGAGCATCAAATCTTGAAATCAATTTGAAATCTTGAGTCACTTCCTGATGATAGATTTTCTTCAAGTTTTGCATAAATACTCATGCTTGATGACAATACAATATACAATAATTAGTTTTGTAATGAGTCAATTAATTTAGTTAAATTTAATTAAGCTTATTTTTATATGAAAAAAAGAATAAAAATTTTATAAATAAGTATATTGATTGTTTTCATACTTATATGCGCGTTTAGCATATTTCACGGCTGTTTCAGAGTGAGCTTTACGGCTTCTTGTTTTTTTTTTGAATATTTTGACTTGGGGGTGTTACTAAAACATTTATAACTTTTGAAATATTAGAGATAATTTTGTTTTGTAAAAGGAATAAAAACAACAATAAAATGTTTTATCATACGACATTTAATACAATAGTAAAAAAACTTCTTTTAGTTTATAAAAAATCAGAAAAATATATTTCTGATAGTGATTATTAAATACACTCATTGTTTAACTATTAATAAAATAAAAAAATCTTAATTGTTAAAGGAAAACTAAAACAGTCTTTATTAAAGTTTGCAAGCAAACCGCATTTCTTGCAAAATTATGAAAAATGTTGTTAAAGGGGGGGATTAGCTGTTAAATGAGCACGTTTTTAAGTCTAGAAGTTCTTGTTTTAGTAAATAATTCACTAAGTTTATAAATTCAATAACATTTTAAGCTAAAGCCTTTAAAAAAACTTGAGCAATTCTTTTCTATGCATACAGTTTTAATAATATAGTGTTAGGTTGTTAATAAATAAAGACTCTAATAAATTAATTCATGACCGAAACTGAGTTAAAGTTTTTGAAAAAACCTCGCTTTTGGTAATGGAATTATTTTATGGCACTTTAATCAATCTTTTTACACAAAAAATAAACGTTTCTTTAAATATACAAATAGCTAATTTAAATTGTTTGATAATGTGTTGTTATTCTCAAAAAAACTTTTATTGATCCATTAATAAGTTCTTTAAGTAGAAAACGATCTTTGAACACCCAGTTGATAATAGATTTATGCACCATTCTAAAGAAAAAACCGCCTAATTTTGTTTATTTTATACTTCAAAATTCGTCTCGCTAAAAAAGTTGTTTTCATATAATTTATTACATGTTTACTTGGGACGTACAGAGTTAAAGGTCACATGGTTGTTTTGAAATGTAAACAAAGTTTTGCGCATTAAACTAGAAAAATTTGTTTCTAAACTAGCTAAGTTTGAAAACATATTTCATAACATAACTAGAGGTACAGCAAACGATTTTTTGATTTTTACATGCAGAAAGGGTTGAAATTTCAATAATTTGGTGTGGATTACAAAATTAATACAATTTTCATTGTTTAATAATAAAATTAAAAATATAAATGCATTAAAAAATAAGCAATCCGCACCAAAAATTAGATAGAATAGACATTTATTTATAAATGTTCCAAATTTCAACCATGAGGCATGTAGCTAAGTTATGAAATCTTAGTTGACCCAAGACAGGTTTTCTGTAAAAGCCACAAAAAACAGAAAATCTCAAATCAATAGCAATATTTAAACATTAATATTTTTATTCTGTTTAATGTTTATATTTTTTTTATTTGAAGATGAAAGCGCTTATAGGAAAAAAACACTATTATTTTAAAGTTGGTGTATTTTTAAACTTTTATTGCGGAAATAGTTTTTTTTTTGATAAACACAAAAATAATTGTGACATTAAGCTCGCTTTTATATTGAGTGAAACAGTCGTGACTTGGATATGGTGTTGACTTCGTCTGTGGTTCGATACCCGCATCTGCCTGAACTCTTTTGTTTTTTTACACACGCATACAGCCGAATGTTAATAAAATAAAACAGTATTATCAGAAAAAACTGATTCCAAAATTTGTGTTTTAATAACATATAAAAAGCATTGGGTTTTAAAAATTTTTGATTTTCAATTTTACTTGTTTTCTCTTTAAACATGTTATAAATCTTATAATTATTGTATTCAAAAATATAAGTATATATATTCAAATAAAATTTTTTGATTCTTTTGGAATACAAAAAATAGTATTTATTTTACTGTATCCGTTCTTATCCATGTTAAATTTTTAACTAGTAAAATAAAATATAAAAATTTGATTGGACAAATGATGAGGGTAGCTATTAGCTTATTCCATGTTCTTGATAGGATACCCGCCCGCTCAAATGCAGATTTATGCTTTTGTTTTGCATAAAATAGGTGTTTCAACGGTATATGCAATGCTGATTCAGAATCATATAAAAACATAGGTCCGAAAACTTGAGGAAAGTACCCAGCTAACACAAAACGTTTGACGAACGTTCTTATAATGTTCTGGAAAATTGTGTATACAAATTAAAAAAACAACGTTAGAAAAACGTTGTTGCAACGTTCATTTAGGTTTGCGTAATGATAATCTTGTAGTGTTTCATTAGGAAAAAGAATCATTCTCAAAATCTAAATTTAGCTAAAATATTTCGAAAAACAAGTTTGTTCTAAACAAAAAACACCTGTTTGAAGGTTGTTTAACTTGATTTACTTTTTTATAAATTAGTTACACAATTTAAATTATTTTTCAAAATTGCAACAGAATATTAAGATATATAATAATAACCCATCTTGCATGTTTGTGCCAAGAATGTTGAATAGACGCTGGGATTTGTAATAGTGCTTCCACAACCAGGGGCGCTGACTTACTAAGACCGAGATGCAATTTGAAGGATTTAATTTTTTGGATCTTATAAGAATATCACGGTTGTTTAGATGTGGAAAGTTATTATACGCAAGCGCAGTGTCAAATTCAAATATTATAATTTTAAAGATGGTGACGCCCTTTAGATACAAAAATTTTTCTGAATAGCAACAACATATTTAAAGTTTTACAAAGTAGTTATTACTTGCATATTTTTAATAGAATGAAATAATAATAAAGATAATTGAATTGTTGATTCCAAAAATGATAAAAACAATATAAAGATCTTTTAGTATATAAAAAAACCGTGATTCTCTGCTACATTTATCTGAGTGTTAAAAGCGTGATTTGTTTACATTTTCAAAACTCTTTTTCTAAAAATCTGAGCATTACAATTTAATAATTTTTACTTTTTACTAATCTGTCCTTATATATATAAGGACAGATTTGAGCTTAGCAGCAATGTTTTTCAGGTGCTAAAACCTTTAGCGCAAACGTTTGTGCACATTGTACAGTCAGTGAATTAGAAAAAGTAAGAGGGCAGTTTTTTTTTTTTTTTTTTCTAAAGGCTTAAGGGTGGTGTCAACTTTTTTAAAAAAAAGTTTTTATGTAAAACTTAGTATGTGTGCACCAGATTAGATTCATAAAATAAATGTTGGTGAAATAAGTCAGAAAAATTTAGAAATATTGAAAGTTTATTTTGTAGTATTCTAAAAATTTTTACAGCCGCCTATATATTAACAACTTATTAAATGAATATTTTAGTTATATATCGGATACAATTATAGTTTACTACATAAAATGTAAGAGAACTGTAACCTTCTTTACAAACCGCCTCAAAAAGAGGTTGACGTGCCCGGTTAAGCAGAGATTTGATCTCAAGCATCGCATACGTCATAAGTTAAAATGTAAAACCAGTGTAAGTGTTATAAATATAATAAGAACTATTAAACAACTTTTTAAAAAATAAATAAATTTTTTTGCCTTATATTTCTTAGAATTTAAATCAGATTGAAATTCAAATTATTAGATCAAGTCATCATTTCTGACAGAATTTCTCCCAAGTCGAGATATAATTATCAAGAGTTTTTTTTTTAAAAGATTAAATGCAATTAATTATAATATAAATAATTATATAAGAATTTGTAATTTCTTTACTTATGAGATCTATCGTTTTTAAATATCGTTATAGTTTTTTCTCTTTATAATTTCCTTACTAACGCGATTAACTTAACGTTTTTAAATTGTAAATAAGGGATCGTCCATAAATTACGTAACGCAAAATTTCATAAGAAACACAACAAAAAAAGATCAAAAGTGTTCCCTTGCAGAATCTTAATTTAAATAAATAATCAAAATAGGAAACTAAGTTAAATGAAAATCGCTGCGTAAAAGAGCTTAATATCTCCTACTTCTGTTCGTAAAATATTTTTTGCGCTGCGTAATTTATGGACGAACCCTAATGTATATCTATCAACGTAACAGCAAGTTTAAAGTCTATTTATGTCCTCCTTCAAGGTCGAAATTTTTTTGGATCAGATAATTAAGTAAATTAATCAAATATTAATATGAACAACAAAAATGAAACAAGCAAAATTAAAAGCAATATCCATAGATCATCCAGGCCATATTCGAAAAATCCGGAAAATTGTTTGCGTAAAATATCCGGAAAAATCCGGAATATTTCCCCCTTATTTTACTTTTAACTTTGTTTTCAGATGAGTTGTTTCTCAATTTTGTTGAAACTTTTTCAAATTTTTGTAAGAGTGATGACTAAAAAAGCTTAAAAACCAAATATATTACAAAAACATAAAATTAAACTTGTATGGAAAACCTTTTGGATATCGGGAAAAAAAAAAAATTCAGAAAAATAATATTGTATATATTTATATTTGCTTTGAAGATCGAAATTTTAGAATTTCATTTTCTGCAACAACTTGACGTATTAAAGGCTGAGTCAATCTTAAAGTATCAGAAATGTTAAACAATTTATGCAGCTCATTAATTTCATCCGTTGTCCAAGATTTTTTTTGGCTGTATTGAATATGAAGTAGGTTGAAAGTTATATTCCTCGTCACTTTCACTTTCACTGGGTTCAGAAAATAATAGTGGCGAAAGTTCAGGGTTTTCTACGGAATTTAAAACCTTTTTTTCAATATCAGTTTGTAAAAATAGACTTTGTGATTTAGATTCTTTGATTTTGCCAGTTGAAACTTTGATGTCGCCAAAAAAAAGTTTCTGTAACTTTTTCAGATGCTTCACACGAGTCTTGTTTGTTTTTATTTAGGTAATACCACCTTTTGGCTGTTGTTTTCTTATGTCTCATAAGGGTTGCTAGCTTACTTTTAAATTCAGGATGGTTATCATTAAAATAAGTCAGCAAACTTTTCCGAATCATTGTTGCACTGCATCGTTTTTCCGTTGAATCTTCATTCGGTAAACATTTCAAAAAAAAAGAGTTTAATTGGGTTGAAACTCCACCAGATTCGAAGGCACAACAGGACTATGTAACAAAAAAGTTTTCTGACATTTTGCCAGGAATCGCACTGCGTATTACTTGATTATAACAATCACACATAAATTTTAGATCATGGTTCAATATAATTTGACATGGGCCATATTGTTTGGCTGTTTTATGTTTTTTCACAAAAATTATAAAACTTCCTGTAGGTGAAAAAGATCTTTTTCGAAATTCTACAGTAGTCATGCTGAAAACAGCTCCCGAACGAGAAATATTGTTGGTTATTAAACCAAAGAAAATACAGTCTCTGGTATTGGTAAACAGTGTTCGAGTAACTAGAAATTCTGATGGTCTGTTTTTGTAATTAATATAAATAAAATTAACGTTTTTTACAATTTCATGATAAAAATCACTTTTAATTATAGCTTGAAAAGATTCCTTTGTATTGTATTGAAAAGATTCCTTTGTATTGATATTTTCTGCATCTTCCATCATAAATTGTATTCTCTTAGTGCTTCTTCTCCACGCAATGATGTTCTCTAATTGCTAATTTCCTTCTGACAAACATTAAGAACGTCAGCAGTTAGAATACAAGGAACAACATTAGGAACAGTTGGAGTTAGTTTAGAGCGAAGAAGAAAATTGATAAAGTGACTCAATGATAATAAATAAGAACGTTGAGTACTTGGTTCATAACCTTTTTGTTTAGCATAGGGAAACCATTTCTCTTGTAGCAGTTTAAGGTCTAAAAGACTTGTGTAACATATAGTAGTCAAATTGTGTAGCATTAGAGAGTTAGGTGAAATGACTTCTACTATTCTTTTAATTTGATGCATTTCATTTATTGCAGCTTGGGGATCATTCTTTCCTCCAGACGGACTTTTTAAATAAATAAGAAACGTATGCAGATAATCTTGAAAACAAATATGGTTATTTTCTCCTTTTTTAATTGTTTTATTTGTTTCATCAAAATCATTGCAAATATAGTCATCTGCATTTAATGCATCAATGCAAGGATTACTATTATGTTTATTTGGCAAGCAAGAAGATTTAAAACAGACTTCATTTGGCAATGTTTTCATCAATCCTGACCTGGTTGAATTTGGTAAAGCAGACTTAATATCAATCAATTCAGATTGTTTTTTTGTTTGTGATAGTGAAACTGTAAATTGTTTACTTTCAACATAAAGTTGCTTTTTGCTGAGCATCTCTCTATATTCTACTATTTTTAAGATAATGTGGAGATCTATAAAAATGATCATGTATATTTTTTGTAGCAATGCTACAAATAGGACATCTGTATTTTGTTTTATTTTTAGATTTTTCACCTTCATCTACAGATGTTGTTTTTCTTAGATCAAAAAAACCTCTTGCTTTCCTTGCTGTTTCAGAATCAATATTATGTATATTTCTTAGATGTCTTGGAAGATCAATTATGTATGCATCGCAGTCTTCTTTTGTGCACCTAACCTTTTGACGGACATACTTTTTTGACTCTTTGGAGTCACCTTTTCACTCTTTATATTACTCTTCCATTGTTGGAACAACTGTAATAACAAAAATACAAAACTCTGCTTGAATAAGTCTTCTTAAAAGAAATCAAAGTAAAATAATATAAAGTAGTCTCTGCATTCGAAGAATCACTTATTTGAAGCTTTTGGTTATTCAAAGTAATTTTTATTCCCCTTGAACCTTCTTTAAAAGACTCATGTATCAGTTATATAAAATTTCAGCTATTTAAAATAAGTTTTTATCCCCTGTTGAGGTTCAAATAACCAGGACTCTACCATATTAATAACAAAATTTAGAATTGAACAGCATAAAAAAATTCTGTTTAATTCAATGTAAAATTTAATTAAATTTTTTTTTTTTTTTAAAAAAAACATACCTTTTCAGCCTCAGAAACTAAACCAAGTTTCATAAATCCTGTTAACATACTTCCCATTTTCATTTGCTCATTTTCATTCATTGCAACTCTACTAAATAACAAATGTTATGGTGAAAATAAAATTTATGTAAATATATTATATAAAAAAAATTTATGTAAATGTGTTTATAAGTATTTTAATTGTTCTTGATGTCAACCTGTGAATATCATTGTTCAATTCTTTATTCTTTTGAGACTAAATTAAAAAAAGAAGATTAACAGAACATCATAAAATCAGTAATCATTCAAAATGTTGTTATAAAATTAAATACATTTTTGCAAAAATATTTTAATGTTATTGTCTGATTATTGAACTGTCCATATAGCTTATCCATGTAGTATCAACTGTCTATATTATCTCAATATAACCAATATAAATAAAATTAGTTATGAATGTTCTCCATAAGAAAAGGTAGTTTTTAATGAAACAAATATTTTTTAATGACAAATAAACACTTACAAATTTTTTTCCAAACCGTTTATACACTTTGGTCATACCACTTAAATGCTCCTAAAATGTTTAAATTATTTTAAAAAATATTTCTACCTTAAAAAAAGTTAGCAAAAAGGTTTTGTATTGTTTTTATAGGGTTAATTTGACGTTTTTTATTCAAATTTGCTAATTTAACATACATTATTTGTTAATACACATACACTATGTTAAAACAAATTTTAGGTTTCTGAAGGTGTGAGGAAGAGGACAAGGCTAGAAGACGAATCTCCTAAGATTGACGCTACCTCAGAATTAGACTTGACACTAGCGCTGATTCTGATTCAGAATTTGAACCCGAAGTTTGGCATCATAGAAGAGCAGATGATTGCAACATTACTGCCAAAGTCCCTAAGAATATTTTTGATGGAAATGTATCTATCATAGCTACAGCAAATGATATCTCCCCCAATGTCTTACAAAAAGTAACTGGAGCAATTCTTCAAGATTGTGGAGTTGATATCGCAAAATGCAAAGCCAGTGCTTCAACAGCATTAAGGAAGATGAAAAAAACTGCCAAGGATACTGCAGAAATTGCTCAATTAGATATAAAAAAGGCCGTGGAAAAAAGCCGTTATCCCTGTATAATTCATTTTGACGGAAAGACTTTGTTTAAAATAAATCAGGGAAAAAGTCTGAAGAATGAAATCTTCTTCAGGTGAAAATATGTATATAGGAATCATGAAAATACTAGAAGAATATGACCTCATTTCAAAAGTATGCGGAGTATGCTTTGATACAACTTCAAGTTATACTGGTTCTAAGAAAGGATCACTTACTAGGATTGCAAGAGAGGTTGACAAATACCTTCTTCTACTAGCATGTAGGCATCATATCATTGAGCTTAGAATGGTTCATTTCTGTGAAGCAGTGATAAAAAAGAATAGCGTAGGGCCTGAAAATCCTTTATTCGTAAAGTTTAAACATATGTTTGAGAACCCTAACTTCAAATACGACAAAAATAACCTGACCTCTCTTGATTGGAAAACTGTGGAAGGAACAGTTTTGAAGGAAGCTGCAAGGAAAACTTTAGATTACTGTAAGACCTATATTACTAAAAAATGCAATATGAGAAATGACCGAAGAGAGTTGGCTGAGCTAACCATGCAGTATTTATCCCCTTCTGCACATTTCAAATTGAAGAAAACTGGAGCTGTTCATCATGCTAGGTTTTTAGGCAAGAGTTTATACTACCTTAAACTTCAGCTTTTGTGCAAGCAACTGACATTTGTGCAAGAAAATGATAATCTACGCGAAGATTTAAAACTCATCTGCGAGTTCATAGTATGTTTTTACACAAGGTGGTACCTTCAAGCACATAAAGCAATTCAATCTCCTGCGTCTGATCTTGATGCAATCTTTCAGATGAAAGAGTTTAAGAAAGTTTACTCCAATCCGGAGGCAGTAGACGCAGTGTTAGCATCTCTTTATAAGCATACATGGTATCTTGATTCAACGATTATTCCCTTGGCTCTTTTGGATAAAAATATTTCTATGGATAAAAAAACAGCCATTGCAGATGCTTTGCTTTCCTTCCAAATGCCAGATCCAGATCTTTTTAAACGTAGAAGCAAAGAATCTAATAGACAAGATTAATATCATAAATAATATGAAGGTACCAACCCTCTCTCTTTTGGTTAATGAGTTTTCATATTTAATTTTTTCAATGATAGGGTTGGATAATCAGAGAGTGAGAGACTGGTTGTCACTTCCACCCCAATATTGGCACACCCAGTCCTCATTTAAGAATTTTGAAAACTTTGCCAAAATGTTAATTGTTGTCAATGATCATTCTGAACGAGCAATCGGAATGATGCAGCAGTTTGTACAAAGATTCGAAAATGAGGATGACAAGCAGAACAGACTTTTAACTGTCGACAAAGTAAGGTCAACTTTCAAGGTTTTTGGTGTGGGAAAAAGTAATAATACAAAAAAAACTATATGAAAGCCTGATGTCACTCTCTAAATTAAAGAAAAGGAAATTGTAGACTTAGGAAATTGTTATTCATTTTAAAATACTTATTTCAATTAATGCATAATTTTTGTCTTGATAGTATTTGTAAAGATTTTAATTAAATGGTAAATTACTTGTTTAAATCAAAATAGTTTGTTTTTTTGGTTGATTTAAGCGGGAATTTTTACGTCTGTCCATCTGAATGAACTTTAAGTATGAAAATACATAAATTACTGATTTCATAACCACTTGCGTAAATTAAACTTTTCATTTTTTGATTTCTTAAATATCGTTTTAACCAAGAATATGTAAAAAACATGATGACATACCCTTTTAAAATGAAAATATAGATATCAAATAACAAAAAAAAAAAAAAAATGGAAATAATTTTTTCATTTAAATCCCCCTCAAACACCCTGAACACACCCTATTTTTCCTTTTTTGAAGTACAATTTCTTAACAACTTTAGTCTTGAGGAGGACTTAAAAGTCACCCGATTGACCTAAAAAAAATTTTGACAAAGTTTTAGCATATTTGCTCTAACTTTAGCTGGGTATGTACTTCGATTTCAAAAATTCCCTAAAAATGACTACCCCTAATATATATACACATACATATATATATATATATATATATATATATATATATATATATATATATATATATATATATATATATATATATATATATATATATATATATATATATATATTATATATATATATAGATATATGTATATATGTATATATGTATATATATATATATATATATATACATATATATGTATATACTTATATAATATAAGTATATATATACATATATATATATATATATATATATATATATATATATATATATATTTATATATATATGTATATATATATATGTATATATATATATATACTTATAAATATATACTTATAAATATATATATATATATATATATATATATATATATATTATATATATATATATATATATATATATATATACTTATAATTATATATATATATAAACACCAAAAAGTTCAAATTCCAGTTGAACCCTTCCTAACACTATCTCATAATTAACGCTCAATAGCTAGAACCCCAATAAATAAAACATTTGCTGAGTCCAATATTTTGATTTGTCTCAGTAGATGATATTCTGCCAATTACCTAATTTTTAGAAGAAAAATATACACAAGAAAATAAACAATTTTTATTCATTAAACTGATTTTTTTTTTGAATTTTCTCAATACCAATATTAGAGAGAAAAACTCAGACAGAATGACATTTACACATTTTTAAATTTATGATGTACTTTATTAACCTTTTAGATTTAATTTGAAATAAAAAAAAAATTATAACTAAAATTATTTTCAACAAGAGCTATTAAATTCAACAATCTAATCATTCAAACCCTTAAACAGTTGGAGTTTTTTATGTTATATACTCTTTTTTTACGATTTCTTTTTTAAGCGAGTGTCATCGCCTTAACTAAGAAGCTTTGATTGCTTTGAGCATAAATATGAAAAAGAACAGATGTTTTTATCAATAATCAATTTTTTTTTAAATATATAATATTAAACTAAAATCTATTGGTATTGTACCAGACCAGAAAACATAGATTTAAGTAAGTAAGAAGAAGCAATCTCCTCTATTTTTTCTTTAGTCATCTTTTGAATACCTAAAATAAAAAAATATTTCATTTTGAAACTATTATTTATTTTAAATAAATTTAAAAGTAACAAATAAAAAGTGAAACTTATTATTCGTTTATTTTTACTCTTTTTCCCACAAACAGTTTCTTTCTGTTAGAACTTACTAATTGTAACTAAATATAAAATAATTTACTTCCCAGCATTAAATTTTAAATTAAAATAAATTCTACATTACTAATGATTAGTAACTAATTAGAACTTTTTTCTAAAATATTTTTAAAAACTTTCTTAGAAAACATTAACAAAAAATAGTAGAAAAAGTAATTATGATATATCATAATTACTTTTTCTACTATTTTTTGTAATAAATTTTCTACTATTTATTATAATAAAGTATATATACTTTATTATAATAGGTCTTTGTTAGTACAAATATTTATAAAATCTAACAATTAATTTATACATATTAATTTGTATAACTGCTTATCAAAAAAGTTGCATAATAATAATAGCCACCAGCAATTTTCAAATCTTTTAAAAAAATCAATTGCTTCAAACGGTAGTATCTTAATTGAACCATAAAACTGTAATAAAAGTTGCAAGTAATTCTCTGGATTTAACTCGATTTTATCTTATTTTAATTTTAATTTTTTTATATACAATTCTCTATGAAACATTAATTGGCCTAAGTCCTAATAATTAAAATTTTAAAAACAATTTTTCTAGGTAAAATACATTTTTCAGTCCATTATTTTTAGAAAATAAAATGTAAACAACCTAATTTTTTAACTTTTAAAAGTTTCCATATGTTTGGGTCCTGTAAAAAAGGGTAGTTTTACATAAAAACAGGGTAATTAGCATAGATCATTCAGGTCATATTTTAAAAATCCGGAAAATTATTTGTGTAAATTATCTGGAAAAAATCAGAAATATTTTTCCCCTTATTTTCCTCTTAACTTTGCTTTCAGCTGAGTTGTTTCTTAATTTTTTCCTAACTTTTGTATGAGTCAATTATATTACACAAATATATTAACTTGCATAAATGGAAAACTCTTTGGATATCCGGAAAAACTGAATTAAACAAAATTGTGTAAAAAAAACATTAACAATTTTTTTTAATGCAGCAACATATTTGGCTTTAGATAGATACTTAAAAAAACACTTCAGACATTTTTGCTTTAAAAAAAATATATCTTTTGCGCTAGAGAATTTGAACTAATGCAGAAAAAATTAAAATTTTCAGTTGGAAAGTTTAAACTTTGTTTACATTTCCTTTTTTTTAATAGAGCATTTTTTAAAATTTTTTAAAAAAATGGTGTTTTTAAAAACAGTTTATTTATATCAGTTTTAACTTATTTTTTTTAATAAGATAACTTCTAGTTGATTATAGGATTTTTATTTTTCAGTTAACTTTTATTTTCTTATAAACTATCTACTCCAGAAGTAACTTAATACCAAAAATTGCTGGTATCTAATAAATAATGAAAAATTTACCTCTACCAATTATATAGACTTTTTTTTGTTGGGGAAACTTTGCAACAACCTTGTTAATGAAATAATTAAATTATGCAGATTAAAAAACACAAACTTCATTTTTATTTATACAAATTTTTAATTTATACAACTTAAAGGTTTATGCAATCGACTGAATTTTGTTTTACCATTAAAAAAATGTTTATTTTAGAGTTAATTGACTCTCTTATCGACAAATTTAACAAATCAATGAGAGTCTCATTGATTTGTTAAATTTGTTTAACATACCATCCAAATTTGAATTAAAATTATAACATATTGCACAATTGAATACTTTCATATTGTATATATATGCTATGAAATAGTATATGATGAACAAATATATAAGTATTAGTTAACCTAATAACAAATGAATAATAAAAAACATCCAAAATTTAATACCTGCACATACTTTACACACAACATAGCCATTCCCAATTGTTCCTCCATGGCATTGGATGTCTATTATTTTGTTACACAGGGCATGTCGCTGGAATTTTGGTCCGCGAAAATTTTTATCCCGGACAATATTTTCGTTGAAATTTTTGGTCCGGCCGGATAAATTTTTGCGATAATTTTGGTCCACCTTGAAAAAAATGATCCGTGATAATATTTCAAAAATTTCGCAGTTTTGAAAACGGACCAAAATTTTTGGTAAAATTTTTGATCCGTGTAAATCAATTTTTGATTTTTTAACTTAAATTTATAAATTGATAACAAATTTAGGCATAATGAGTGTAAAATAGTAAAATAGATATGATCATAGTTTTTTAACGAGTTGTTAAATCTTTCTTTAGGTTTTATGAAATCAATTTCTCCAAAGAATAATGGTTGGCTCATTCATACTCTATGATCTTTCATAGCTTTTTCATATTTAATAGAAAAAATTTGCATATATGATGCATAGACCGCATAGATGCATAGACCCGGCATAGTCATATCTTATTATACTTCTCGATTTGAAGGGCTTTGAATGTCTGCTTGCATGAAACCCGCGTCCAGGAATAACTTTATGACTGCATTATAACTTTATGACTTGATCTGATGTTTAAATTTTTCTGGAAGATCAAAACAAACAGTAATGGTCTTAAAACCGAACAGGTTTGTCGGTTTTAAGATTATTACTATTTGCAATGGCCTTGTAATGTAATGGAACATTGCAACAAAAATATTACTAGCAGCGTACGTTAGGGTCATTGGTGGCAACATTTTCCCAATGGGATATTCTCTGGTTATGACTGTCTGTTATCTTCCAAATAGCCATGCTTTGATCGATGTGCAAAGTTCCTCATTGATTCCATAGCTTTGGACTTTGTTAAAGGATTTTGTTAAATTTGTAAGATAACGTTTATATGTGTACCTGAAATGATTCAGCGCACCATTATTGAAAAAATTAGAGTATTTTTGGGGGCGTTTTGGCATTCAATATCCATATCCTAATGTTTACTAAAAAAGCAAGAAATTATTTTAATTTATGCCCACAGTTAAATGTAATTAATTTATGTATCATGCTTTTATTTATACTAAAATACAAGTAAAAATAGTTATGTTCGTTTATTTGGTATGGTAACAAATCAAATAAACATAACATATGGTAAAATAATTAAACAATAGTCAACAGGTAAAAATGTTTAATCTAATAAATGTCAATGCTATCCACATGTCAAAGTAGCCCCAAGTTATCTCAGACCTCTCTCACCTTTACTCTACACATGACACTAGTAGCGGACTGGCTGTATATATATTACCGGGCTGGCTGTATATATATTACAAAGACTGCCCGGTCCGCAATTTTCAAAAAATAAGTCCTGAGAGAAACAATTAAATCACAGAATAATAAAATTAAATTGAATTAAAAAAGTACAAGTGATGTGCAATTTTCACAGTGCAAAGTATAGCAATAACTATTCTTAATAACAGTTTGCACAATTTAGAGGACGAAGATGCATATCTTTGAATGATCGTATCATACTCAAGGCTATCAAGTAGACTTTTTTCTAAAGACGTCAACATATACAACTCTAAGTGGACATTCGCAATCTTATCTTGATTAACTTTAAATTAGAAAACGATTTTTCACCTTTGGTTTGTGTTCCAAAATTAGTATATATTTTTTTGTAATTATGATACAAATTGTCATAGGTTTTGTCGTTGAGTCTATATGCAGCAAGAAATCGTAACACATAAGATCGACACGATCCACATGCTTTATTAGTATTTTTATAACAACGCGGTTAATCTGGATCATCCTTTTGATCTGCATTCTCTCTCAATGTTGTCGTTAATGGCCAAGATAATTTCAAAATCTCATAGTTAATTACAAATGACAACAGTTTGGCCTTTATTTTATCAACATCGACATCTGGTAAAAATTTGATAATGCTGGGTAAACTGTTGTATCAAAATATGTCATGTCCATATATAATTGTCAAAGTGAAATGAAACGTGACTCAAGACTTTGGACTACCTGATCCATCACCGCGTTGTAAGTGGGAATTCTGTAGGGTTCCAAAGCTTTATATTCGTCATGTATGATCATCTAACATCATTTGTGTCTTCCGCTTCCGTTTAACAGCTAGTTCTGTCTTCATCTCTAATATGGTTTCAGTTTTCTGGTTGATGCTTGCGTTTGCTATCCGTACAAATTAAAGAGCGTTATTATGAACATCATCCACGAGTTGCAGGTATATTGAAAGTGATCCCACTTTTTCAAAAATGTGCAGGTATGTAAAGGCAGTCAAAATGGTATCGAATTTCAGGAATGGCATGAGGAATGTCTTAGCTTCATGACGTGTTTTTGCATCAAAATTTTCTGATTCGCTTATAAATGACGGACAAAAAATTAAATTGACAAACACTGTTGAAGACGGCGCAGCAAATGTTCCAAATATCGCCGTTGCAGCATTTGATTTACCCGACCAATCAACTTCAATCTTTTTATCTTTGTGTTTCAACAAGTTTAATCCAAGTCGCCATTCGCCTATATGACACTTTTATGAATGTTGAAACATTTTGCTAAAGGTTAAAAAATGAAACTGCCTGAATGCAGCAACTGGTTGCCTCCTTCACAACTAAGTTGAGAACATGAGCATAACACCAAATATGTACATGGTGGTCTGCAGCTTCTGTAATCTTTTGTTACAGTCCGTTGTACTGGCCATGATAACTTGAAGCACCATAAGTGGTGTCCGATAGGCAGTATTGCAAATTAAAGCCAAGCCGCTTTAGCGTCAATTTAAGAGATCGAACATGCTTTGTCCAGTACCGTCAGTGTTTGGTACAATAGAAAGCAGCTGTTCATGCACAGTAGCATCTAAAACATAGCAAACGACAAAGCTGAATTGGTCAATTGCAGACATATCTTGTGTAGAATCAACTCGTACGGAATACACTTTTGCTTTGGACAATCTGTTCCTGCATCATATTTTTCATAATATTGAGAAGCTTTGATATAGTAGTCTTACATGAAAACGTATCCAGAGCACCACGACCTTTACTGTCGGCTTTACCTTGACGTTTCAGTTTTTCTATTCTTTTAATTAATATCTCTTGACACATGGAGAGATGAGAAGCTAAAAGTGGGTCATATTTGGCCAAGAGCTGTACCAAAGTCAAATTTCCATGATTTTCTTCATCATGAGGTGCTTTAAGCAGACTAAGACAAAAAGTTTTATTTATGTGTTACATTAACATTTATGCTTATAAACATTTATTTTTTCGAAATTTACAGGCCAATGTTCAAAACATATAAGGGTATTTGCTTTCAAGAATGTTGCTTCTTGGCCAATTTCTACTTTCTTCTGGATCTTTTGGTAATCTGTAAACAGCACACTTTTTTTTATCTGTTAAATAATTAGTAGAGCGATTCGCAACACTTTTCACTTTAAAGGCATAATAAGCCTCAAGAAATATTTTTTCTTCTAATTTTAAGCAACGATAATAACCTTTTTTCTTAGTTAATTGGCTTCCAGTTATTTTTACGGTTTGCACGATTAATAGGCCTGTGTTTCATTTTCATTAAACTTGATTTCTCTAATCTTGTAATCTATTCATTAAACTTGTATTGATAAAAGTGCTTAGCAAATAGATTAAGGGGATCTTGTAAGCAAGCAATCACACAATTTTAAATTTTCTACACATAATTTTATTAAAGTTGTATTTTATTTAGACAGCCTAACTTTTTTATTTCCGTTTTTAAACCTTTATGTACTACATTCAAACCATTTTGAAAATATTTAAAATCTAAAAATATATTAAGCAAATAATTAAAATAATATCATCTTAACTTTAACAAAAAGTATTATTAACATCACAAGTACAATATATCGACAAAAAACATTAAACTGATCAACAACGTTACCAGTTAATAAAGTGTTTTTACCTTGATTATGTTTAATTCAATTTCTTTTCTTTAACTATTGGCTAATGATCAATATAATAAATTTCAAATCATTAAAATTTACCAAATTGAAACCATATTTCAACAGGTAGTTCAATGCAATTTAAACGAAAAGTAGAACTAAAGAAATAAAATTTTAATTGAATATAAAAACCATAAGCATATTTTAAACATAATTAAAACCTAAATAAAAAAAAATAAAAAAAGCATCATACTCGCAGCTTGTTTATAATCTATAATGGTAAAAATAAAAGATAAATAAAATATTAATAAATAAAAACTCTAACTTGTTGGCACTCTTACTAAAAAACTAAAACTTTTAACTCTAACTTGTTGGCACTCTTACTAAAAAAAATAAAACTTTCAACTCTAACTTGTTGGCACTCTTACTAAAAAAACTAAAACTTTCAACTCTAACTTGTTGGCACTCTTACTAAAAAACTAAAACTTTTAAATCCAACTTGTTGGCACTCTTACTAAAAAACTAAAACTTTCAAATCTAACTTGTTGGCACTCTTACTAAAAAACTAAAACTTTCAAATCTAACTTGTTGGCACTCTTACTAAAAAACTAAAACTTTCAAATCTAATTTGTTGGCACTCTCACTAAAAAACTAAAATTTTCAACTCAAC